GCTGGGGAAGGGCCCCGCGTTTGGTCTGGGGTGACTGCAGGCACTGCTCCTCCCTTGCTCACCCACCTGTACGGATTCAATCCGGAGGGCTGGCCAGGGGGACCCCAATTCTCAAAGCCTGGGTGGCCCAAGGGCGAGGCCGGAGCTGCACCTCTGCAGGGGGGCCCTGGAAGGAGGCCCGTTGGTTCTACCTGACCCAGCGTGGACTGGATATGGGGCCTGTCCCTCCCTGCCTGGGCCAGCAGAGGGCAGGACACAACCAGAGCTGGACACCCTGTGATGGTCAAGGTGAGACTCATCCTGGGAGCTTCCGGGTCAGCAGCTCCCCAAGGATGAGCCTGAGTGTAAGGGGACTTACAGAGGGCTCGGCTGCAGCTTGAGAGAGAGGCACTGTGGCCAGCCCTGAGTCCCCCACAGGGGTGCATCCTGCTCATTGCGAGACCTCAGGAGGGTCCCACAGCCCCTCTGGGCCCGGGAAACCAGCTAGATGCTGTCCGAGGCAGGCAGCCTGGAACGCACTGCCCGGCCCAGCCCCGGGCCTGATTCCCCTGCTGTCAGCTGACCATCTGGCGCTGGCCTGAGCCGGGCCCTTCTCCAGAGGCGCTTTGAGCACCAGGGACCTTCCTTATGAGGCTGTGAGATATGGGGACAAGAAAACCGAGGGTCAGGGTGGGGTGGGGGTGGCGTCTGCAGGCTGGGGTCCCCTCTGGACCTCCAACAGTCCTGGTTTTGTTGGGTGTGGGTTGCTGAGGGTTGGCGACTCCACTCGTCTGGACGGGGACCAGCCCAGGGGAATCAAGGGGGTGACTGCCTGGAAGAGGGGGTTCTTCTCAGATTTGAGTGTTGAAGCAGAGCAGAGTCTTGGGGTGAGGACTCTGGATTTTGTTGTGGTCACTAGGGCTGGGAGGGATGTCGCTGAGGAAGCTGAGGCAGAGCCACGGGGCTGTCAGCCTGGCTCCATGGGCGCTGCCCAGTATAAACTTCCAGAGCTGTCCCCTGCGGCTGCCCCGTTCTGGAGGGAGGAGCCCTGGGAAGTTCTCAGGCTGTTGCCTGGGGTGCTAGGACAGCCTTGGCCCACAGTAAAGAGTGAACTGGGGGTCGAGGCAGGCCAGGGTTCTATGGGACACTGGGTGACAAAGGTGGGTGGGGTCTCCTCACTGTGGGTGTGGGGGCTCCCCGAAGGCCAGAAGACCGGAAACAGCCTGGACCGAGTGTACACCTAGGCTCAGATGACGCCCAGTTTCCAGGTCAAGGGACACCATGGCTTGACAGGGCTCAGGGGAAGGAGCTGGAGCCCAGGATGGTGGGACCTCCAGGACGAGGTGCTGAGGTGGGGAGAGGGCCGTGTGCCAGCCACGGTGTCAGCCCCCTGCCCAGACACTCTGTGTTGCGACTCTGGTCCCAGGTCCTTGTCAGCGTGCCAGACACGTCACGGGCTCCGACTCTGAGGACAGGGGTGACCCGGCCACGTGGGGGGCAAGCACACAGCCCTGAGGCGGCGCCTCTGCCCGTAGCCCTGGGGCCCCGGGCCCCTCAGCGAGCTGCGCTTCCCCATGCATTTCCTTCTAGCGTGTTCTCGGTCCCTCTGGACATCAGCTGCTAAACATTCTGCTGCTTCTATTATTTCAAAACTAATTTAAGGATTAAAAAATAATTCTTCCAATTACTGTTCACAGCTCCGGGCAGTCAGCTAAACAAGGGCTGTGCTCCTGCCTGAGGACCTGAGCCAATGCAGGGAAACGGCATTGGCCCCCGGAGTCCCTCAGCCCCTGCCAAGGGGAACAGGCACCCCTCCCCACCCTCCTGGGACAGAGAAGTGACCCCTGAGTGCAGCGCCTGCTGGGGACCCTCGCCTGCCCTGCAGTGGCTCAGCCTCCCCGGATGTCACCCACCTCGACTGTCCTGCACACTGGGCTAGAGCCTGCACAGGTCACCCACCCTGTGGCTTCGAGTCCTGTGATGGGGCCAGGAATGGCCAGAATCCCAGGAGCGGAAGGGGGTGGGGAAGGATGGGGTGGGGGGGGCTGCCTGTTCCGCGCTGCTTCTCGCGTTTTAATTACCTTCCCATGCAGGTGCTGGGGGTCCAGGAGGCTGAGCAGGACCTGGTGGTCCTCTGAGCCCCCCACCCTCGGGCTCAAGAGCCGGTGAGTCAGGACTGGGGTGGGGGTCCGGGCTGGAGGGGAGTCCGCAGCCCCTCCCGGCCATGCTGGCGCTGGTCGGTGATCTCATCTCTTTCCCAGGCTGTAAATATCACCCAAACGCTCACGACTCCCAAATTGTCCTCCAGCCTGGGCCCTTCTCCGGAGCTCAGCCTGCACAGCCCACGCGACACCCCCGCCCAGATGTCTCCCGGGCCCCAACCACGGAAGCCGCTCCTGCCGCACCCCCAACCTTGGGACGGTGTGGAGGCTCAGGGCAGGAGCCCTGCCTGCCACCTCTGCTGCTGCCGGAAACGGGCACGTGGCTTGTGGCCACAGCCCTCTGCACCCCCTCCCACCCTTCTATCTTGGCTCTTGTGTCCCCCCATTCCCCAGTGCTCAAGCACCCACGTGTAAGCAGCATCCCGAGAGAGACCCCCAGCCCTGCCCCTGGGAACAGTCCCCAAGGTTGGGGGACCTCCCCCTTCTCTGTGCCCAGGACCTCCCGGGATCACCTGCTCTTCCATCAGCAAGATTCCCCCACCAGGGTGTCCCTTTCTCTTCCCAGCAGGCCGGTGGTAGGCACAGAGGCCCAGGACAGGAGCTGCGGCTCCAGAAGTGGGGCCAAGGGTGGGTGGGGTGGGGAGACCAGGAGCCTAGTCCCAGCTCCCCGGGGGCAGGGACCTGCTGTCTCCTGAGCTGCCATGGGCCCCAGCCCCCAGCTGCAGGCCGCTGGGGGTGACAATCTCCAGTCACAGTGCCCGGGGAGGCATGCGCTCTGAGAGGTAGCGAGTGCCCTATTTCGGAGGCAGGCAACCGGAGGAGCTCCGGTGGGCCTCAAAGGTTCTTTGCAAATAGGTGTCTGCAGTTTGCATGGGCCCAGGGAGGTGGGGGGGACGACAAAGGGCTGTCGGGCAGTGCAGGAGCCTCAGCCTCAGCGCAGAGCCCTTCCACGGCCCCCCACTCCCACCCCAACCCCCGATCTAGCAGCTTACCGCATCTTCTGGGGAGTGGTAGGGGCTGCGCAGGAGAAAACTGGATAAAGACGCTCCTGCCTCCGCTCCCTCTGCCCACCGACGCCCAGGCACAGGCTGGCACACTCCAGGCCTGGTGCTGCAGGCGGAGGGATGGGGGGCCAGGTGGTGGGCTACAGGCGCACAGCACCAGACCCCACAGAGCTGGGCCTGCCTGCACCCTGGGAGAGGGCAATGGGATCACTGGGCAGGGGAGTGCTGGGCGGGAGGGGTGGAGGGGGGAAGCAGAGGGCTTGTTGCTGAGCTCATCTGCCCCGCACACCCCCCACCACCCCGGGCTTCTGGAGCCCCGGCCGCCCCCACAGCCATCTGGCACCACCATCCATTCTCCCCCACCGCCTCCCCCAGACGACTGTGTTTTCTTCTCTCTCATCCCCCCAGCACCCTGCCTGGGGGCTGGGGGAGCCGGCCCACCCCTCCTGGTCCCCGTGGCCTCCTTCCCTTTTAGCTCTGAGTCCTCACTGACCCAGCAGCAGAGAATGCGTATGGATGCACTTCTTTTTTTTTCTTTCAGGTTTTGGGTTACCCCGATGGGCTTTGGGGTCTCTCCAGGCAGAGTTCGGGAACCACGCTGTGTTGGAGATGGAACCCGGGTTTGCTGCCTGCACAGCAAGCGCTCCAGCCCATTGAGTCATCTTTTGGCCCAAATAAATTCAGGGAAGTCTTTTTTTGGTTTGTTTTTGTTTTGGGGCCGCACCCATCGACTATTCTCAGCTCAGTGCTGGTGGGGCGGGGGTCACTCCTGTGGCTCTTGGGGCCCTGCAGCCCTGAGGATGGAAGCTGGGCCTCCTGCACATGCACCACATGTTGTGTGCATGTGTGTGTGTGCGTGTGCGTGTACGCGGGTGTGTGAGCAGCAGACAGGCCTGGGTCCTGGTGGGGTGGGCTGGGTAGGTGCAGCTGAACCAACAGGGGGTTGCAGGTGTAGAGTGGGACCGTGAGCAACCGGGGGGCACATGGCCCAAGCCCACCTCGCCCCACAGCTCTCCACCTGCCCAAGGTCCTTGGAGATCCTCTGGGGACCGCCTCACCCCTGGGGTAGGGCTGGCTCTGGGGGAAGCCTGGGACTTCTGAGCCGTGCATGGCCCAGGGTAAGATGTCCCCACAAAAATGGGCACTGCTGGAGGGATGGGTACATGACACTGTATGACTGAAACGCAAGCACAAAATTCTGTAACTGTACCTCACGGTGATTCACTAGTAAAAATAAATAAATTAATTAAAAATTAAAAAAAAATATGTCCCCACAAACCAGTCCACCCAACTCCCTCCAGCCAGGCTTGCCCTGCACACACGCCTCTCCCTCGGCTGCCCGGTGGCCTCAATCACTTGGGGGCAGCGGGGCTAGCCCAGAGTCGAGGGAGCAGGGTAGGCGGAGCCAACCCGCTTCCTGGGCAGCTCCCGCCTTGGGGCGCGCCCAGTCAGCACCGGTCTCTGGGCCGGCAGCGCCCAGCCCCCTTCAGCTGCCGGTCGCGGGAGGGGAGGGGGCAGGCACTGCCCTTCCAAGCCCACCTTCCCTCTCGGCAGCCCCCCCAGCCCTCACAGCCCGGGAGGCCATAGCTGTAAGAAAAGAGCTCTTTATTCCACGTCGTCCGATATTTTTACACAAGTAAAATAAAATGCATATCTCTATATACCGCGATCCGGGCGCGAGGCCGCGTTCTGGAACAAACGCTCCTCGGCACCCTGTAAACATGATGGGGGGTGGAGATGGGGCGGGCGGGCGGGGTCCGTCGGGGAGGGGCCTGGCTGCCCGCTGCTGGCTGGTGGCGCGGAGGGGACCCCTATGTACACACGCCTGGAGGCCGAGGGAGGCGGGACGGGCCGGTCAGCAGCGCCGCAGCAGCGTCCAGAGCGCCACGGCGAGGCCCAGCGGGGCGAGGCTGCAGGCGAGGCCGGGCCGCGCCCCCGAGCCCTCGGCCTCGCCCGCGCCCGCGCCGCCCGCCTGGCCCAGGCGGCACTGGCTGCGGGTGCGGTTCTTGCGGGAACAGCCGGGCCTGCGGCGGGGCCCCGAGGTCGGGGGCCCCGGGGCCTCGGAGCCCTCGGGCGGCAGCGCGCTCAGCGGGGGCTCGGCCGAGCCGGGCAGGGTCCCGAACGGGGAGTCGTTGATGTGCCGCGGGCGGGAGCCGTTGCCCGGCGCGCCGTCGCCGGGCGGCAGCCGTCCTTTGAGCGAGTTGCCCGCCGAGCCCGGGCTCCTGCCCTCCAGCACCGAGGCCTTGTCCGCCGCGTCGGGCTGGCAGCACTTGGGCAGCCCCAGCGCGTCGGCGGCGGCGCGCCCCCCGGTCCAGACGGCCGCGGCGCAGCCCTCCAGGTCGGGGGCGCTCAGGCGCTTGAGGTCGCGGCCGGCCAGGCGCGGGGGCAGCGCGCAGGGCAGCTCGGACGAGGAGCCGCGGAACTGCTGCAGCCAGGCCCAGAGCGGGCGCGCGCGGCAGTCGCACACCCAGGGGTTGTCGTTGAGCCGCAGGTACTGCAGGGAGCGCAGGGGCGCCAGGGCGTCGGCGGGCAGCGCCGACAGGTTGTTGGCGAACAGGTAGAGCGTCATGAGGCGGCCCAGGTCCCGGAAGGCGTGCGGGTGCACGCGCGCCACGCGGTTCTGGTGCAGCAGCAGGCGGTCGAGGCTGTGCAGGCCGCGGAAGGCGCGCTCGGGCACGCTGGGGATGCGGTTGCCGTGCAGGAAGAGGTGCGTGAGGTTGCCCAGGTCGCGGAAGGCGTCGTCGGGCAGCGCCTGCAGCCCGTTGTCCTGCAGGTAGAGATACTGAAGCGCGGCCAGGCCGCGGAAGAGGCCCGGGCCCAGCTCCTGCAGGCCGCAGCGGTCCAGGTGTAGCGTGTGCAGGCGGCTCAGGCCGCGGAACGTGGCTGGGTCCACGGCTCGCAGCTGCGCGTTGTCACTGAGGTCCAGCTGCTCGAGGAGGGCCAGGCCCGCGAAGGCGGCGGCGTCGATGTGGGATAGCGCGTTGGAGTGCAGCCACAGGATGGTGAGGTTGCGGCAGGCGCGGAAGCCGGCGGCCGGCACGTGCGCGATGCGATTTCCGTGCAGGAACACGCGCTGACTGGAGGCGGGGATGTCCACGGGCACGGCGTGGAGGCCCTGCTGCGGGCAGCTGGTCGTCACCTTCGGCTCATTGTAGCACACGCAGGCGCCGGGGCACGGGGCTGCCACTTGCCACGCCTGCAGCCAGAGCACCCAGGCCAGCAGCCGGCTCCCTGCGGGCAGAGGAGAGGGCCGTGAGCAGGTGGGACCCCCGACTGAGGGGGCGCAGGGCACAGGGGCTGCAGACCCGTCCCTGGGGCCTGGGGAGCACTGCACAAGGTCGACTGGCTTTGCACGAGCATTGCCCAGGGACATGCTTTTGCCCGCCTGGAGCCCTTCTGGGCGAGGCACTGATGACTGCCGATACCTCCTTGAGGCTCTAGTGACCACAGTCCCCAGGGCCAGCCCAATGGGTCCCAACCCTGTCCCTGGCCCGCCCTCTGCCCTACCAGTTCAGGTTTGCACAAGAACCCGGAGCTTCTACTCATAGCCTGGCCACTCAGCGGCTTTGAGTGCTGCCGCCAAGGGCACTGCCAGGCTGCGGGTCAGACCTGCCCAGGCCACAGGACTGCCCTGACCGCTGTGGGAAGCTGAGCTGTGATGAGGAAAGTGCAGTGGCCACCACCTCCCCCCCCCACCCCAGCAGGGGTCTGGGGATCCCCCTCGCAGTGCTGGGGATCACGTCACAGGGCTCCAGAGCACTGCACTCTCCCAGGAGCAGGAGTCTGGGTGCCTGAGGGCAGGGGCGGCAGCTGGTCCAGGAAGCAGGAGGCCAAGCACAGCCCCGCCCCACCCCCAGGCCCCTCCAGGCAGGTGCCCGCTCCCAGACACCCTCCTCTCAGCACTTCCTGTGCTTCCTGCCTTGGCACGGAACACCTCCGCCCCTCGGCCTCATTCTCTGCTGCATCTCCAGGGCCAGGACTCCGCCCCTTCCAGCCAATCAGCCCAGGCACCACCCGCTGCCCTCCGCCCTCTGCAGGACCTTTCCAGCTGGCTCTGGTGACATGACCATGTGGAGGGGGCTCCAGGAGGGTCGCTTCAGGCTCCCAGACCCCCCCCCCCCCCCCCCCACACACACACCTGCTCTATCTCTGGGAGCCAGATACTCCCAAGAGCAATCTGGGCCAGGAACCCCCACCCCACCCCTGGCTCCGGGGCTCTATCCTGCTGGTCTCGCCAGGAGGGGCCACAAGCCCCAATCTTAAGCTCCTGTCTTAGCGCCCCAGCCTTGGAGCCACCCCTTAGATGCCAAAGAAGGTTCTTTCAGCCTGCAGGACTAAGTCTATTAAAATGTGAATCCCCCGGGGAGGGTTATGGCTTATCAGCTAACACTTGAGTTATCAGCTAGCACCTTGGCTGACAGCTAGCACCTGTGCTGATAGCTCGCACCTCCCTCGGCAGCTAGCTAAGAGCAGAATTCTGCAGACAAGAGGCCGGGCGAAGGCGAAGGGAGGACAGAACCCCGGCCCCCTCCCCTGCCCAGCGCTCTCGCCTTGGAGCAGGAGGGGCCCTGCACTGGTCCCGCTGGCCTGGATAATGCCGGCACAAGTCCCAGAGCCCAGCCTGCTCGGACCCGGGCATGGTGCTCCTAGACTCCAGCTTCTGGAAACACACACACACACACACACACACACACACACACACACACACACACACTGGCCGGGGCGGGGCGGGGCGGGGCGAGGAGGTGGCTCACTTCTCTGTCCCTTGGGCCATTTGCGGGTTGTCAGGGACAAGGTAGTCCCAGGAGAGGGGCCCAGCGAGGCAGGCCTGGCCCCATGGGCGCCTCCCCCAGCTAGCCACGCGTGGGAGGCTGTGCGGGGCACCTTGGCCTGTGGCTCTGTTGAAACTGCTGACATGCCTCGCTCGCTCTCTCCTTCGGGGGCCTCCTTGGGAAAGTCGAGCCTGATTAGGCCGGCTCCCACCAGCCTCTCACCTGCTGTCACAGGGCAGGACTGTGTTAGAAAATAGCACTGCTGTCGCCGAGACTCAGTGTCAGCATGGGGCAGGGTACCCCAGGGCCTCACCAGACCAGGCTCTGGACTTCCCCACTACCAGTGGGCCACAGGCCAGCCATGGCAGCAACAGCTCCTGGCTGTGGAGTGGGCCACACCTCTGGGCACTGCTGATGGTCCCCATCAGGACTGTACCCACTGTGCTGCCCACTGAGCCACACTGCCACTTCCCCTGTCCCCTGGCTACGAGGCAGGCAGCCATGGCCATGGCTTCACTAGAACCCACAGTTCCTCGGGCCTCCCAGGCTTCCCATCCCCGGCCCCCAGAGACAATGAGCTCGGTACTTGGGGAGCCTGGGGTTCCCCCCACTCAAAGAGTGCTCTGGGCAGGGCTCCAGGGCCAAGGCACGTTGTGGTGGTGAAGGGGGGGCCGGTGCAGCGTGGCCCATGGCTCAGCGCTGCCAGATGAGGCACTGAGCAGAGGCGCGGCTCCCTTCCTGCCGCGTGAACTGCTTTGGGGAAACCAACTTCTAAGCACGGCCCCTGCACCCGCCTGCAGCGGGAGGCCGCCGGTGGGCTCTCTCCTTGCCGCAGCCGCAGTAATTGGCTCCAACCCGACCCCCCTTGGGGCCTGCCCGCTGGTCTCCATGGCAACCCCTCCGCTGAGCAAGCAGAGGGGGCATCTTTTTATGAGATAATCAAACCCAACTTTTCAGCATGGGTTCAGACACACAGCAGGGGCCCTGGGAACCCAGGAGACGCCCCCACTATGTCTCGGCCCCCCCCAACCCCACCCCAGGCTCATCTGGACCACTCCCTGATCCCTTCCCCTCTGCACTCCCTCCTATGCTCACCCCCAGGGAGTGCTGGCCTCTGCAGCTCCAGAGTGAGAGGGTCTTCCCAATTTCCAGGCAGGCCTGCCCACCCAGAGGAGCCCTGGGACTGTTCCCTGGCCCAACAGCCTCCCTTTCCCAGTCCCCAGCCTGCCAGCCTTCACCTCTGTTCCACCAGTCATATGCCAGCATTATGGCGTCCCAGTTCTTAAGTGTCCACACACGGGCACACATGGCTGGGGCGGCGGGGGCAGGAACCAGCCCCTCCAGTCCAGCCTGACTCTCACACGGGACATCGTGGGCATGCACACCCCCTCAGCACCCCTGCAATCCCCATAACTTCCCTCCACAGCCCCCCAATATAGCACCCAGATCACTCTCCCGCCACCTTGACGTCTTGACTGCCACACGGGTCTTCTCTTCTCTCAGACTCAGCGCAGCATGGATGGATCCGGGGGTTCCTTGGGTACCTCAAGGCGCTCACCTCCCCCTGATCAGGATCTGGCTTATGAGCAGCCAAGAGTCCAGTCAGGCTCTGATGGCTGCGCTCTGATGGGCAGAGGTTAGGGCTGGGGGTGGGTCCTCCCATGTGATGGGGGCAGGAAAGAGGCTTGAGGGCACTGGGCATTGGATGGGGTGGCCCCAGAGAGCACCCCAGTGCTCACCCTGCCCCAGCTCCTGTGAGGCAGGTGGGGGGTGCGGGTCCCTGGGACCCGGGGTTGGGGGAGGGAGTGGCTCTGAGGTGGGCAGCTCAGAACAGCAACACCAGAGACTGCAGGTGGGGGAGGCCTCGTGTGTTCTGCCTCCACCACTCCTGGGACCCCACCCCCCACCCCCAGCCCAAGCCTGCCCTGAAAGCTGGCGGTGTAGCTCTCAGAGTCCTCCTTGGTGGGGTCCCTGGTGGCCCAGAGCAGCCTTGGGGTCTCAGTGCTGGCCGGGTGATGGGATGGGAGACACTGTCAGGGGCTCGTCAAAGGTCCCCACTGGCTTAGCAAGGTAGGAGCGCAAGAACCAGTCTCCTCTGCAGGACCAGGAGCCTTCTGGCTTAGTGGTGGAGAAACTGAGGCAGCCACCTGGTAAGGCCAGAGGGATCAGGGAATGTGAGGGAAGGGCCACAAAGCACAGCTGGCCAGGCCTGGGGTGGGCTGCTGTGTGGGCTCAGCAGCAAGAGTCCAGATTTCGGGATGGCAGGTGGGTGTGGGGCACGCAGTGACCAAGAGGGTCACCGAGTCCGGTCAGGCTCTGATGGCTGCCCCCAGGCTGGGGTCTGCTGGTGATGAAGGGGCTGGGCGGGGTGGGGGGAAGCTGAGGCCCAGCCAGGACACCAGTCAGCTCAGGGCCCTCCTGGACACTGAGAATGTCCCCGTGTAGGGCCACTTGACAGACCACAGGAACGGGAGGAGGCCACAGCACCGCGTGCCAGCATCAGAAATAGCTGTGGGTGGGGGTGGGGAGGTGGCATCGGCACGTGGCGGAGGGTCAGGGCACCCCGCAGCAGGCTCGCACCCTCCCCTCTGCCTGCTCACCACCCCGCCGGCCCCCCTGCGGCGACTGGCTCATCCGCCCACCCCGCACCGGCCATCTGTCCCCCTGGTCTCACTCGCTTCTCACACTCACCACCCACCTTCCTTCCGGCCGGCCTGCGGTCAGTCATGTGCGGGCCAGCGCACCCGGCCTGCTTCCTGGGCCTCTGGCCTGGTACCAGGTGTGGGGGCAGCAGCTCCCCACACCCCTTCCCTGGGGTCTGGCATCCCCTGGGGTGTCAATTCTGCACCCCCGAGGTCCCAATCCTTAGCTGTCTTCTCAGGCGAGAACAGGGAGGGCGGCAGCTCAGTCACTGCTGGGTTATCTGCCCTGCAGGTGGGCGCCGGGCCCAGGGCGGAAGCAGGTCTGGGCCAGCGTGTGCACAGTGAGGACAGGGGGTCAGAGCTGCCTGAGGCTCAGCCCGGAAATGGCGGGAGGGGCCGCCCCAGCCCCGCACGAGGCCACATGGTGCCAGCAAGCCAGGGGCCAATTATATTCCACTTTACGGATGAGGACAGTTAAGTGTGGAGGCCCCGGCCCCAGAACTCTACCCATGGTGCCCATAGGCTGAAAAGTGCTTAAGTTTTCCCTTCCCTACCTACCGCCCCTCACTAAACCCAAGCTTCATCCCCTGCCCCTCCCCCAATCTCTAGTCAACTCAGACCCAGGTGGGGCGCCCCAGGATCCTCCCAAGTCAAAGAAAGCAAGACTGGCAGGGAGGGGGCCCTGGTGTGGGCACGTGACCCCATACCCAGCCTGCCCTGGGGCAGGTGATCGAGAAGCTGCCCAGTGGCCAGACTGGGTCACGTGCCCAGCAAACACAGCAGGTGAGCCCCACGACAGCCGTGAGACCAGATGTGA